TGTATTTTCTTCTGTGCAGAATAAAAAAAAACTGTCTGTATTGACGTTCCTGCCATTGTTGAATTGGCCGATAGCTATCGCTAATTGGTCTGGAACCCTCTCCAGTCAGCGTAATAACAGCCCTGTGTTATGGCCCCCCGTGAGAAAAGCTCGCTCAAGCGAGGAAGGGTACGGTTTACTCCAATTGGTGCCACTCGTTTACTTACAAGGATTACTGTAGGCTACTATCGATGCAGATTCACAAGACCAAAAAAAACCTCGACGCTCTCAAAGAATCTCGAGTCAAGTCCAACAAGACACACCAGTCGACTTGGACTACTTACCAACCCCAGTCACTGGTCCTCAATCTACCGCTACAGAGACTCGGAACGAGCTTACTGTCACACCCCCTGAAAGCCCTCGCAACAGCCATCAACAAATCTCATCCCAACCCGAATTGTCACACGCGATTTCCTCGCCAGCGTTCGAGGATACCCAGGCGCTTTCACAGTTCGTGTATCCCCCCAGAGCATTCGCAGACGATGTGAAGGATGAGGACGCGGAGGGGGTCTGGGGCTACCTGCTACCACTAGATGAGAATGGGAATGGCCCACTTGTGCTGAGGATGCGCGATGGTTGCGATAATGGTGATGATACTGCCAAAACCAAGGGGAAAAAGGCCCAAAAATCCAAGAGTGCCAAGTCGCCAGGTGGCTTCTTGGTCGGCCGTCATCCTGAGTGTGGTAAGTGATAGCTTGATGGTTCTCAAGTGTTTGTTCTGACCATAGTCAGATCGCGTCCTTGAAATTCCCACAATTTCAAACAGGCACTTCCTTATTTTTGCTGAAAAGAAGAAAGGTGACATGGTTGCTGTGCTGGAGGACCTCTCTAGCAATGGAACATTTGTTAATGATGCCATTGTTGGGCGTAATAAGCACCGAGAACTGGAGGACGGTGATGAAGTTTCCATTCTGAATGAAGCTCGTTTTGTCTTCCGCTACCCTCGTACTCGGGAAACAAATGGTTTCCGTCAGCAATACCGGATTCTCAAGCAACTCGGCAAAGGCCACTTTGCAACCGTTTATCTGTGTGCTGAACGATCTACCGGAGACAAGTATGCAGTCAAAGTCTTTGAAAGACGTCTTGGTGACTCGCAAAAATCACAGAACGACAATGCGCTGCAGCAAGAGATTGCATTGTTGATGGGCGTTCATCACCCGAATCTACTGTGTCTCAAGGAACCCTTTGATGAAAGTGATGGTGCTTATCTGGTCCTTGAATTGGCACCCGAGGGAGAACTATTCAACTGGATTGTGAACAATCAAAAAATGACCGAGAATGAAACCCGCGGTGTGTTCCGTCAACTATTTGACGGATTGAAATATCTAGTATGTATATCGACAATCCACACACATACGGTACTGGGATAGCTAATATATTACCAGCATGAACGAGGGATTGTGCATCGAGATATCAAGCCAGAAAATATTCTAGTTGCAGATAAGGACTTGAATGTGAAATTGGGTGACTTTGGGCTGGCTAAGATTATTGGGGAAGAATCTTTCACAACGACCCTGTAGGTGAAACCTCGTCTGTGTCAATATGAATGACCACTAACATTTGTCTCTAGCTGTGGTACACCAAGCTGTAAGTCACCAAGGATGAGACCTTGAACCACTAGTGTGAAGACTAATTCTGCAGACGTTGCTCCGGAGATTTTGCAAGATACCCGCCACCGAAAATATACCAAGGCTGTGGATGTATGGTCCCTTGGTGTTGTACTCTACATCTGTCTCTGTGGCTTTCCGCCGTTCTCGGATGAGCTGAATACTCCAGATAGCCCATTGACTCTCGCCCAACAGATCAAGATGGGCAAGTTTGACTACCCGTCACCATACTGGGACTCTGTTGGAGATCCCGCTCTAGACCTCATCGACCGGATGCTTACTGTGGACGTCAACAAGAGAATCACCGTGGAGGAGTGTCTCGAACATCCTTGGATGACCGGGAAGTACCCGAGTGTCACTGACAGCACAGATGGCCTGACAGGGGCTCTTGGTAAATTGGACTTTTCTAAGCGCAAGTTTCAGCGGGAACGGACCTTGTTGAGCAGCATCAACGATGCTCACTTTAGTGAGCACGCCGAAGGCAGCGAGAAACCAGTCAAGGTGTTCCGAAATGAAGCCGCGAAACGTGTCCACAATCGACCAGCCAAGGTGCCCCGTGAAGTCTCACCCAGTGGCGACCGGGCCCCTAAAGATTTCATCAATATTGGGGAGCGTGGCGATCCTACCTTGTATGACAATTGATGTGGCTTTTTGTACGGAGTACGGACGTACAACTTTTTATTGAAGAGTTTGCGTATGGGGCAGAGATCATTAGGGCGAATCAAATGGGAGTGTATAATTAAGTCCAAATCACAGATTCACACTACATAGGGATGACCCTTCTCGGTACACCCGGTGCTCCGTAGGCAAATCCTTCCCTCATATACGGGAGCCCCTGGGCCGAAGTGGCCTGATACTCCGTACCCCCTTGGCCAAATCAGAACGTAGAAAATTGAATAGAACAGATATTATCGACAATATAGGAGCTAAGAAGAAAAAAATCAATAAAAATAACGTACGATGGTTATATATCCTTGGCATCTCTCTAGTCCAGGGGCGGGTCTGTCGTTCGCCGAATGATATCAGACTTAATTATTTTCCTTCGCCTCCTGTTTAATCTTCTCAACATCTCTTTCTTTCTGAGCAATTGGAGACAAACTGGGTTCTAGGTCAATTGTGAACCTGTTTTCTCGTCTCTTTGTCTTTCTTTTCTCCTTTGACACACTCTTTTTTTGGGGCTTTTGGACAACATGGGCCTCTTCTCAAGTTTCCTCGCATCCTTCTGCGAGCAGTGCTCGACCCAGTCGATATACACTTTAGCTAGTGTTGGAGCGCTGTCGTTCATTGCGCTGTCAGTCGTGATCAATGTGCTGCGCCAGCTCTTCTTCAAGAAAGCCCATGAGCCCCCTGTAGTCTTCCACTGGTTCCCCTTTGTTGGAAGCACCATCAGCTATGGCATGGACCCATATACGTTTTTCAACAACGCTCGCGCCAAGGTATGTTGATCGCAAAGGTAGGACCCTCAGACAAAGGTCACTTGCTAATTCGGGGATTCATATTGGCAGTATGGCGACATCTTCACTTTCATCCTCCTGGGCAAGAAAACCACCGTCTACCTAGGCACCAAGGGCAACGAGTTCATCCTCAATGGCAAGCTTCGTGATGTGAACGCCGAAGAGGTTTACTCTCCCCCTCACCACCCCCGTCTTCGGCCGTCATGTCGTCTACGATTGCCCCAATGCGAAGCTCATGGAGCAGAAGAAGGTATGAAGGAATGGGTTCTACCACAAAGTTCGGCTACTGACCACTGCATAGTTTGTCAAATTCGGTCTTACTTCCGAGGCACTTCGGTCTTATGTTCACTTGATCATGAATGAGGTCGATGACTTCGTGAAGAACTCTCCGGCTCTCCAAGACGCCAAGGGTACCTTCAATGTTTCCAAGGTCATTTCTGAAATCACAATCTACACCGCATCCCGCTCGTTGCAAGGACAGGAAGTCCGCGATCGATTCGACTCGACTTTTGCCGAAATGTATCACGATCTCGATAAGGGTTTCGCTCCTATCAACTTTATGCTGCCTTGGGCCCCGCTCCCCCACAACCGCAAGCGTGATGCTGCACAGAAGAAGCTGACCGACACATACATGGATATTATCAAGGCGCGCCGTGCATCCGGTGATAAGAAAGACTCTGAGGATATGGTCTGGAACTTGATGTCCTGCACTTACAAGAATGGCACCCCGATTCCCGATGAGGAAATTGCCCACATGATGATTGCGTTGCTCATGGCCGGCCAGCACTCTTCCTCATCTACTGCTGCATGGATTGTTCTCCGCCTGGCCACCTGCCCTGAAATAGTAGAGGAGCTTTACCAAGAGCAACTTCAGATTCTGGGCTCTGATCTGCCTCCTCTCACCCACGAAGGACTCCAGAAGCTCGACTTGCACTCCAAGGTGATCAAGGAAACCCTTCGTATCCACGCTCCTATCCACTCCATTATTCGCGCCGTCAAGAACCCCATGCCTGTGGAAGGCACTTCTTATGTTATCCCCACCACTCATAATGTCCTGTCCTCCCCCGGTGTTACCGCTCGCTCTCCAGAATTCTTCCCCGAGCCTCTGAAGTGGGACCCCCACCGCTGGGATGAAGCCGACGCGGAGGCGACCAAGGAAGAGGATGAGGAGCAGATCGACTATGGTTATGGCCTGGTCACCAAGGGCACCAACAGCCCTTACCTGCCTTTCGGTGCTGGTCGCCATCGCTGCATCGGCGAGCAGTTTGCCTATGTGCAGCTAGGCACAATTCTGGCTGCGTTGGTAAGACACTTCAAGTTTTCCAAGCCTAGTGCTGATTCACCTTTCCCCGAGACGGATTATTCGGTAAGTGATCCTCTATCACGATCAACTTAGTGTTCAAACTGACCATATTCTAGTCCCTCTTCTCCAAGCCTCTGGGTACATCCTTTGTTCAGTACGAGAAGCGTGGATCCAAAAAATGATCGGAGTTACTTTTTAGAAAAGGTTCCCATTCACATTTTGATCACATTTTTTTAATGCCCTGCATTGATGCCGTCAAGATTCGGACTGTACTTGAGCCCAGCTCGCTCAGTGGAATTGACAGCTATAGCATCATGGATTTTTTCACACTGAGACGATTCTGCTGTATGAATATTCACTTCTCGCGACTTTGAATCGCATGTTTCTCTAAATGTTTACATAACTCAATCATATCATTTTAATCAGACACAACAACACCTACCTCACTGATCTCTAGAGAATCGAAGAAAATTGAAGATGAAAAAAAAAAATCATGATTGCAATAGTGTAGCAATAGTATAGTACAATTCGAATTTGAACATCCAGGCTCAACAAGAAATATGCAAGATACCTAAAGTGGTATTTCACCGTTCACATTCACGCCTTCTTTCTCTCATCCAGTCTCTTCTTGTTCTGGACTTCCCGGCGTCGTCGCTCACCACCATCGACCTTCTGTCCCCGCCTGTCCTCCCACATACCTTCTTGGACCGAGATGGTAGCTGCAGTACCATTGGAACCCTTCAAGGGCTGAAGGAACGGACCCATGGGCTGACAGCCACGGTGAATCTTCATGTGCGCAAATTTCTTGATTTGTTGTTTCTTGCCATACTGGTATGTGGTAGCATCCGGTGCCAGGTTGACAATGGCTTTCACCATACCGGGCGACAATGTAGCAGAAGAAGTTTGAACGGCCGCTTGTGCTTCATGTGTCAGGCCTCTGGCATTAATCGGCACCTCAACAACCCGCAATTGTGCAACACCATCAACCACAGTTTCCAGATCACCTCCAGGGCCGTACAATCCGTTTCTGAACTTCTCGCGCTTCCGGATCAAGTACCGTCGCTGGCGGGCTGGCTCGATACCAGCTTCGCGGAGCTGGTTGGAGTTTAAAGTGAAAAGTTCTTCCCATGAGGGGATCTTGCTCGCTTGTTTGGACATTTCACGGCCGATCAGCGTGAGAAAGGTCTGGACGTCAGGAACGAAAGGGGTCGGAGATGGCACAGGTGGGGGCGCATTCTTGTGGAGGGATCGAACGTATTGCTTGGAAATTGACACAGGCTGGGATAGGCGCAGTGTCAAGCTGCCTAGCAGTGAATTGCGCATTCCCATGACGCTCATAGTGAGAGGTGTTGCGGGAAGGATGCCGAAAGTCCCGACTTTGTTGTTAACTCGTGTGCTTTTCTTTCCCCCGAAAAAGCGGTTTCTTAGTCCCGACGAGGGAAGGGACTGATTAATGCCTTTGAAGTTGAAGGAATTCCAGCAGCTGCCGAGGAATTGGCTGGGGGTGGTCGCTGTTGACTGACTTGGAGAAATTTCGGGAGTCGCCAACAAAGTCCAGGATCAACAATACTCCGGGCCTATGGGGGAAATGACATCGGCCCTCATATTTCGACATTGCTGCCTTCACCTCACATTCTCATATTTGATAAAGATGATCTCTTAATATTTATAGTAGCCACTAATCTTATGTGGCTATCTCTTTCAACTGCTTGTCACTCCCTATACTTTAAGCTTGTGCTTCAACCTGAATCATGGCACTCTCGCCCTTCGGCTCTCGTTCGCCATCCATGACGGTCCATTCCCCAAATACAGCAATCAGACTAAGAGCTACTGCTGCACAGAAATCAGTTGCTGGACCTTCAGCTGCAGCCGTGTCAAGGCATGTACAGAATGGGGATCGCGAGCTCACCGAACAACTGAACATTGATGTCCGGGAACGATATGTCAAAGGTATTCGAACATATGGTGCAGTGTTTTTCACGGGCTGGTATGCTAACAGAGAACTAGACAAGAAAGTAGGTGAAGGTACATATGCCATTGTATATGTTGGCCACCTCCGAGACGATCCCTCATCCCTCGTCGCGATCAAGAAGATCAAAGTCAATGCCGAATACAAGGATGGGCTTGCTATGGATGCGGTTCGTGAAGTGAAGTACCTTCAAGAGTTGAGGCATCCCAATGTCATTGCCCTCCACGATGTTTTCTCTTCCAAGGACCAAAATCTGAGCTTGGTTCTTGAGTTTCTTCCCGGTGGAGATCTTGAGATGCTCATCAAAGACAGTGACATTCATTACGGTGTGGCCGACATCAAAGCTTGGATGGGGATGCTTGCCCGGGGGTATGGTGGTGCCATGAGAACTTTGTTCTCCACCGGGATATCAAACCCAACAACTTGCTGATCGCGTCAGACGGGGAGGTTAAATTGGCTGATTTTGGTCTCGCCCGATCCTTTGCCGACCCCTTGTTCAATATGACCCATCAGGTCATCACTCGGTGGTACCGGCCACCCGAGCTTCTCTACGGTGCGCGACAATACTCCGGCGCGGTCGACGTCTGGTCCATGGGGATGGTCTTTGCCGAGCTCTTGCTACGGGTTCCATTCGTGGCGGGTAATACTGACCTGGACCAAACCTCCAAAATCTGTGAAGCGTTCGGCACCCCAACGGAGGAGAATTGGCCTGGGGTCAGCAAATTGCCCTACTACATTGCCACTGACAAGGCCCATTTGGTGCCGTTACAAGGACGCGATTTCTTCATGCGACAGTTTCCCACTGCAGGTCCGGTGGGCGCCGATTTGCTGATGTCAATGTGTGCACTTGACCCACGCAAGCGTAGTACAGCTGTCCAGTGCCTGCGACACAATTGGTGGACCATTGAACCCCGGCCGACTAAGAACGAAGATCTCCCGCGAAAATCTGGCGGGACTCAAAAGATGGGAGATGATTTGACCCGACGTGGTGGTGAGCTTGATGAGGACATGTTCAAAAGTGCTGCCCGGCAACTGGATTTCGGTATGAAATAAGACAGGATACAAGGCACAGAAAACCAAAGCGAAGCAGAGTAATAATGGTATTTGTTCATGGCACTAAATATGCATGAGAGTGGCATCTGCAGCAACTATTGGATTGCCATCTCCAGGGCTGAAATGCAATTCGGAGTACGGAGTCATGATAGCTGAATTACTCCGTACTGTGTGGGAGAGAGAAAGAGAGAGAGGGAAAATCTCGGGAAATGCTACTTACTCCCACGATCTGTCATGTTGCAAGTTAGGGCAATCCATAGCCTGTTACTCTCCCTTGCATTCCCTATATTCCCTATCTTCCTTGTCAAGGTTCAACAAGGACGGTTGGTCTCTATACTGGGAGTGAAGGTAGATATAGATTTAGACAGACGGGCCACGGGATAACGTAAATAAGGATCAACAGGTTAATTTTAATTGTCGGTTTACCTGTCAATCCCTACTTGATTGAGTGATCGAACAGGAGTTCATTCCAAGCTTCACCTGTATAGGGAGATATCTGTGGACTCCTTCCACCTTCCACCCTTAACCCTTAAGGAGAGGAACAGGACAATAGGTCCTCCCGATTTCCTTTCAACTCGCTATAATGAAATTGAGAGGGAAAAAATGCAAGCTTAGACTTCTTATTCGCCCCTTTTTTTCCCTCGACCCGAATCTGAAACCTCCACTGCCTATCATTGGAAGATGCTCCGAGCTTCCCAAAGGTGTTTACTGTGATATTCCCCCTTTTTATAGTATATATACTTTCTATGATGGGGATATAGAGAGTTTACATTCTAAAGGTATATAGGGAGAAAAGAGTATATCAGGTAGGAAAGATATAAAATCCAATTAAGTCTGGCCCCGTTCTCTGCGGGGGATTCTGTTGATACCTTTTTCTCTCTTCTCTCTTCTCTCTTCTCTCTTCTCTCTTCTCTCTTCCCTTCTATCTCTCTCTCTCTCTCTCTCTCTCTCTCTCTCTCTCACTCACTCACTCACACACACTCTCTCTCCTTTGCGCCTATCTCTGAGATTCTACAGTACATTTCTATTTTCATCGCTCTATTTTTCATAAATCGGTGAGTACCCGAGACCTAAATCATAACATAACGTCGCGCTTCGACCTCCAAAACTTTGGCAAACCTGGAAACCTCTCGTCGGATCATGTCTCATACTAACTTGGGAAATATGGCGCAGGAACGATCTGCCCGGATGGCCATCGCGTTCACTTATCAATTCCATTCTGTCGCGTTTTAATACAGTCCACTCATGGCCTCAATGTCAACATTACCGCAGCCCTCGCAGCTGTCACGGCCAGTTCCACCTCCAACTGGATCGTTACCCGCCCTCCCAAATCCTAAATCCAGAAAATCGACATCTTCCGACACACGGGCTGCATCCCCCTACCAGGCCTCCAAACTGCGGACCCCATCCAGTCCCAAACCCTCGCTCAAGTCACCTCTATCAACTTCAAATTCAACTTCCAATCTAAATGCCCGGTCAACTTCCGGTGGGCGCACTCCGGGTAGTCCCGACAAATCTTTGCGCCGAACAATTAGTATCGCGTCATTCCCTCAGCCACCAAAGGCCAGTAGCCGTCCATCCACTGCATCATCACTTTCGGGAATCCAAGGTGCTACTTCCAGTGTGCGCCCCCAAAGAAGCTCTCGACTGAGCACAGGGACCACGAGTAGCTACCGGAGCTCAAAGACCCAATCATTACTCAACGGGGGAGAAGGTAAATTCATATCGAGTGGAGATGCGCGAGATCCAGAGACATCTCCAACCCATAGCAGAAGCTCTTCCGCCCAAGGATCTTGCTCAACGAGTGCGACGACTTTTGAGGATGCAGATGATGTGACGGGAAAATCAAGCTCTAAGCCAAAGGAGATCAAGGGCAATGTCATCGTCAGCGTGCGTGTTCGTCCCGACAACAACAACGGTGAGACTTCTCGAAATCATGGTGAATGGTCCATCGATAGCCGGCAAAGCCTCATCTCCTACCGTGGGAAAGAAGGAGGAGATTACTTTTATGGTGAGAATGATATTCCTTACTTGTCCACCGTTCGTAACTAACCGTGGACTAGATAATGTCTTTAATCCACAAGAAAATAACGCCAAGGTTTATGATTCGGCTGCCAAACGTCTTGTCCGGCGTGTCATGGAGGGTTATCATGGAACTGTCTTCGCATATGGTATGACGGGAACCGGAAAGACCTTCTCCATGCAGGGAACAGCAACTTCCCCCGGTGTAATTCCACTCGCAATCACCGACATCTTTTCCTTTATCAGAGAGACCCCACATCGGGAGTTCTTGCTGCGGGTCAGCTATCTGGAAATTTACAATGAGAAGATTAACGACCTACTTTCTGCTTCCGCTGCCAACGGCCCCGCGGGAGCCCAGGAGGAAATCAAATTAAGAGAGGACAGCAAACGAGGAGTATATGCAACGCCGCTCAAGGAGGAGATTGTTCAGAGTCCGACACAACTTCTCCGTGTTATCGCCCGAGGTGACCATGCACGACGAACAAGCAGCACACAATTCAATGCGCGCAGTTCTCGAAGTCACGCGGTGGTTCAGATTGTGGTCGAGAGTCGAGAACGAGTGCCCTCCGGCAGCTCTCAGGACAAGCGCGCTGGGATCGCCCCGGGTGGTGTGCGGGTATCAACCTTGAGTCTGATTGATCTGGCTGGTTCTGAACGTGCAGCCGACGATAAGGAACGCCGCACAGAAGGTGCTCACATCAACAAAAGCCTGCTCACTCTGGGCACTATCATATCTCGGCTGTCGGAAAACAAGGATAAGCAAGGCAACCCCACGGATCGGGATGGGAGGCATTTGCCATACCGGGATAGCAAATTGACCCGACTATTACAGCCAGCCTTGTCTGGTGGCTCGCTTGTGAGTATTCTGTGCACCATTCAATTTACGAGCGCGGTCAATTCGCATACCGGCGAAACTCTGAATACTATGAAATTCGCTGCGCGCGCAAAGAACAATATAGTCAGTCACGCTAAAAAGGCCGAGGAGGCATACGGCAGCGGTGGTGGTGGTGATTCCGGAAGCCGGGTACTGCTTGAACGATACCGCATGGAGATCCAAGCTCTTCGCGGTCAGCTTGACACCCAAGCCAAATCCCAGGCGGAGAAGGAGCTCAAATGGGACGAACATCAGTATGAAAAGGAAGCACAGGCCCGACACGAGGAACAGGTGTTGGAAATGCAGTTGGCTCGGACTGCGCTCAAAGAGCGGATCGAGCATCTCAATCGCCTAATACTGAGCTCCAAGTCTACTGGTGTAAACAACCACAACAGCCTTTCTGCGTTTGGACGTCTTTCCCGCATGTCTGCAACAGATTCCGGTGCGCGCTCACTACGTTCTTCCGCCAGCCAATCTACACTGGGGGCCGGTCATTCTTCGATTCGGCCCATCTCGTTCATGTCGGTGAATAGCAATGATCCCTCATCGGGTATGCTATACCCAGGAGGATCGCTTGGCAACGAGGACGAATACGACCTCGGCGAATTTGGCGATGGCAAAGCGAGCTTACAGCGACAGGTCGCTGCGCTGCAAGCTGATCTCGGTGATAAGAACCGGTACATATCTACCCTGGAGCGCCGGCTGCTCCAGGCAAGACGGTCCAGTCATTCCCGAATGTCAGGCATCAAGCCCGCAAATGCCACAATTGCCGAGCATCCAGATGTCTCGGCTTTGGTTCGCGAGAAAGATATGGAGATCAATGAGCTCCGGTTGCAACTCGATGATAAAGATCGCATGCTTGCTGCTCTTCGATCCGCAGCCCGGCATCGAGACTTGGCTGCTGTGACCAATGACTCACATTCACCCGAGTTGAAGAGCAAGAGTGGGTCTATTGCTGGCGATGCAGACAATTTTGCAGGGACCAATGACTTCGCACAATCTGAGGGACCAGACAAGCGTCCCGTGTCTGGTAGAAGTGCAAAGGAAGACGCGGGGAAGAACATGGATGAGGTCTCACGCATGCTAGAGGAAATGATACAGGGTCGAGCAGAAGGTGGGCACAATGCTAAGCACAGGAGCATTGCTAGTGAAAGCCGACGAGAATCCTCATCGGCGGAAGTCCCCGGTCTAAACCCAACTGCGCCCTCGTGGACTCCAAACCTCAGCTCGCCATTCCGAGAATGAAAATCTCGATGCATGTTGACTTGAAGCTTTTTTTATCTTTTGTTTTGTGGTTTTTTTTTTTTTTTTTTTTTTTTTTGCCTTTTACGAGAGCTCTTTGGTTTTGTTTGATCTGATACCCAATTCATAGGTTATTTTCTTGCGTGTCTTTTATCCGAACTACTTTTGGAGGTCAAGTGCTTGATTACGTTTCTAACTTATTTCGCCATATGCTGTATACTATTGCCCATGGAAGGCCTATATGTTGTTATAGTAGACTGGTCAAATCATATATACTTCGAGGTGGACATATTATCACGAGATGATTTCCAACTCGCCTTCTCTATCTTTAGCATAAACATCCTTCCACTGATTCCACAACCTCATCAGCTCCTCCACATATCGAGTATGAAGTTCATCAATGTACTGATCGTTGATCTTGTCGCGGTTTTGCTGCTGCATGACAGGAATTGGTCGTCCGACCACGATATTGAGAGGGGTTCGATACGGCATCAGTCCGACATCGTAGTTGAACACCCCTCGTGCATGGAACAGAGGAATAGTGAACCCTAATGTCTGTTTTACAAGCATCTGAATCTTGTGGATGATTGGGTGCTGATCTGAGTCTACTTGATCATATAGGTCATTTTCGCCAAAGGCCAAGACAGGCACCAGATCGGCTCCCGTTCGAATAGCGAGCTTGATGAACCCTTTGCGTCGTTTCAACACGAGACGCAAGGAATGAGGCCGGGCATTAAGAGATTCCCGGGCACCTCCTACGACGATTGTAATTGCTCGCCCCATGCCCTCTCCATCTGCGCCTCCTTTGGTGAGAATATTCTCACAGGACTCCCGGGAAACACTGGCAATTCCCATGGCAAGTGCGTATTCTCGGTAGAAAGGGATACGGAAGTTCGCGTCCAGTGTCAACAGAGTGTTGGTGATTCCTGGGAAAAGCTTGGAGAAGCCCAGAGCTTCCGTCCCAAATGCGGCGAAGGCGCCATGGGAGATAATACCATGTGGGTGGTATCCAAATATATACTTCTTTGTAGGCGGAAGCGACTCCTCGCGGTGAAGACGAGCAGGGAAGTAAGATGCATACACTTTCCAGATAGGAAGTGAGCGCAGGAATGGACTTCGTCCTTTAAGACGCCCCGATGTAGCGGCGGTGGAGAAGAGAGATATGTAAACGAGATATGGGACCAAGAGTGGCCAGGACAACGGAATAGCGCAGGTAAAGAAGAAGATAGTCAGGAAGATAGCAATGGTCAAAGTGTGACATAGCACCACGAATGTTTGTAGGCGTCGCTCAAGTCCGATATTCAGAGGGGCCCAGTGGATACTGTATAAGGTTGGTGAGTTATGGGTGAATTGAGGACTTGTTGCGCATATCTTACCGTTTTCTTCCACGCCTCGACTGTGACGTAGGTGCCGATGCACGCCCAGCTGGCCGAGTCTCTCCGTTCATTGTTGGATGGGATGAGAGAGCCCCCTGTAATGATAGAACTGCTGTGTACAGCTCTCTGACTTGGCTCGGGTTGTGGCAATGCGAGAGATGCTAAACTCATGTAGATTGTCAAAGATTATCGGGAGTTGCGGTGGACCCGGGAACGATCTCTCCGTCGAGGATTGATGAATGTGATCTGTACAGCTTCTCCTAGGATGTGAGTCGAGACTGTGCACCCCCAATGCCGAGCAATCAACGATTAGGGGCAGACGCTAAGTTGTCTGATATGACGTTGGTTGTGGATACCACAAGGCACCCGAAAACAGCCCGGCTTATGTAATCCATGTGTTCGAGGTCTGCCCAGGTCGGCATGAATCCATCTATCTTTATATCAGCCTCAAAAGATATGTCCTGAAACATATACGATATGTACGATGTATGGATATGGTACAATAATCACAAAAGAGTATCAGATGATCACTCTTCTTCCATGTTTGATATTGGGATTCTCTTGATTCATAGTAGGATATATATCTAGTTCAAAACAGAAAATCATAAGAACTGAAAACACCAAATAACTCCAGATTTTATGTCCAATGCGCTTCAGATGCAGATATGCATAAATCTTATGCTTTTATCATGAAGATCTGCTTCATGTCAGCAAACAGATCATGGAGAACATTTGTTGCATAGCTTACCTCGTTGAGAGACTTGTCGTCCATAATAGCTCTCTTCTTCTGGGCGATATGGCGTGACCGAGTGACATTCCGTCCCATAGGCCGTCGCTCCCTGGATATTTTTGCTACTACCTTGACTTCTGGTTCAGATGTCTCGCCTGGGGCATCACTCTCATCTGAATCAGCCTTTCTCTTCTTGGACTTCCTTTTCTTCTTTGATTCCGAGCTTGATTCATTGCCATCCGTTTCATTTCGAGAGCGCGATTTCTTGGATTTGGATTTGGACTTGGACTTGGACTTGGACTTGGACTTGGACTTGGACTTAGATTTGCGGGCTGGGGCATCCGATTCGCTTGAAGAAGTCTCGTCGTCCTCGGTAGTCTTTGTGGGTTCTTTCTTATCTAACTTGGATTTCTTCGATGTTGCGACCGTGGTGGTTGGTGGAGTGGACTCGGGTTGCTTTTCTTGTGTCAACAGGCCTGCGCTGACGAACCTGACCTCCGGGAATTTCAGGGCGGCATATCGAGCCAATCGGACGTCATCACGCTTTCGTTCATCCTTCTTCAATTCCACTTCACTCTTTCCATTGAGTCGACCAAGCAATCCTTTGAAGGCATCAAGTCCAGTCGGCTCAGTCTCTCGTCCAATGCGAGCACCCAATCCAAGATTATCGTCCTTGAGGGTGACTTTGATGTGGGAAACGCTGGCGGCAGTCAAAAGATTGGCGTGTGCGGCGTCCTTTGCTCCCAGAAGACTTCCAGGAGTCCAGCCCTGAGAGCTCATGATCCGATGTCCGAACCCAGTCGTGGACCGGGTCCATTTGGTGTTATTGGGATCATTGCCGATCTTGGTATTCCTACTCACAGGGTTAGAAAATGATACAAGAAATTGATAGGATCAATCGCATCAATCGCATACTTCCGCGGCCCTGCTAAGCCCATTGTGAAAAGATCGAGTCGTATGGAGAAATCTTTGTTCGAAATCGAATAAAGAACGAAAGGAAAAAAAAGTTGAGAGCGGGATGAGTCAGCAATCGATAAGGTCTCCCCAGGGTCCCGACCTCGCGGGGAGAAGATGTCTCTGGAGCTCTTGAGAACTCCACCTTCAATAATAATTTAACTGTGATTTTCAGATTTGTTGAAGATTTCGTTCCATATATTGAAGCTTGAAGATATTTCTCCCCTTTTGTTCTCAGGTTCTTGAAGCGAGGTGATTCTTCTCTGCGCTATATAAAATCGCCGAAATAGGATAAAACCATTGTGGAAGCAATGCCATTGCTTCTCCCCACGTCTTGATTTTCTCGCGTCATGTCGAATCTTCGGGTTCTCTGTCGAGATCAGCCTCAACGTACAATTGCGCTGGTCTCGTCAGACCATGCTCTAGTGTTCTACTACACATCAACAGATACCAGTGCGAAGGACAGCCCACGCTGTCAAGTTGAGTTCTCAGACTTAGGGGAAGTGGACCTGCAAGGCTACAGGCCTTTAGGATATGGCTATGGTACCCTTGGTCTTGTTACCCTCAATGAAGATGTATTTGTTTGCGTCGTCACCAGCTCCTCGCAAGCCGCCACTGTGAGACCCGGAGAAACCGTGTCGAGAATTGACAATGTAGGCTTCTGTATGTTTCCCACGCAAAGTCCCTGTCGAATCATTTCTAATAATACCAGATTGCCTCAATCGTTCAGAATACGAGTACGGCCTGGACCACGAGACTGGGCCTCAATTCGCTGCCGAGGAGCGACTTGGCCCAGACGGGAAGGATGTGGTAACTGACCATCCTTTCCTGGCGTTGAAGAAGCTCCTTGGAGATGGAAGTTTCTATTACAGCCTCGATTTCAACCTCACAGATCGCTTACAGGACCGGTAAGCTGTCTGCTCCTTGCTCTTCACCAGCCGATCTTCTTCGACTAACAATATTACAAGGGCCAACAAATCCGTGGCATTTGACATTGACACCCTCAATGAAGATATGCTGTGGAATTCTTACATGATTAGTCCGCTTCTCTTTTTCCGGAGCCACTTGCCGCCGTCCGATAAAGCCAAATTAGATGCATCGCAGATGTTGACCTGTGTTATCCGTGGATTTGCCAGTACCCTGAAAGTACCAGCGACCATCCCAATCCTTCCTCATGTGCGCACAAACTTTCCTTCTATGTTGACGATCATATCCCGACAATCTTCTCGGCGTGCTGGTACGAGGTTCAACTCGAGAGGCATCGATGATGATGGGCATGTTGCCAATTTTGTGGAAACTGAAACTATCCTGTGGGTTTCACCCGGCATTGTATTCTCATATGCTCAAGTCCGCGGCTCGGTGCCTATTTTCTGGGAACAAGCTCCAGGTCTCATCCCGGGCCAGCAAAAGATCGAGGTCACACGGTCAAGCGACGCAACACAACACGCATTCGACAAACACTTTGAATCCCTAGAGCTGGAATATGGCGCGGTACATGTGGTCAATCTACTAAGTGAGCTGAAGCCCGGGGAGGCAGAGTTGTCATCCAAGTTTCGACAGCATATCAACAAGAGCTCGACCCGACAGAAAGAAGGTGATGGGACGTCTCCACGCCGGAGCCTCTTGCGAATGACCGAATATGATTTTCTTGCTGAGACCCGAGGTCCTTCGGGATACGAAGCCAGCTCCCAGATCAAGCACGAGCTTATCAATTCATTAGATGAGTTTTCTTATTTCATGTCGGAGGATTCAGGTCGTCCTAATAAAACTTCCTACGACGGAGCTGATGCAGTAAACAATTCTCCGGTCATTCTACAGCAAGAGGGTGTTTTTCGGACCAATTGCCTGGATTGCTTGGACAGAACAAACCTCGTCCAGACCATTATCAGCTCGATGGCATTCGAGTCATTCTTATCGCACCAAGGCGGCAGATTAAGCTCGGACTTACAGGTTCGGCATTCGACCATTTGGGCTGACAATGGCGATGCTCTTTCGAAGATTTATGCCGGGACTGGTGCCCTCAAATCTTCCTTCACCCGACACGGAAAGATGTCACTTGCTGGGGCACTTGCAGATGCACGGAAGAGTGCAACTCGACTTTATGTCAACAACTTTACAGACAAAGCCAAACAGAAGACGATCGATCTTCTCTTGGGGAGGCTAACAAATCAAGTTCCTGTATACCTCTACGATCCAATCAATGATTTGGTCATTGAGGAATTGAACCACCGAGGCCCGGAGTATTCTTCCCGCAAACAAGTCCGGTTTTGGGTTGGCACCTTCAATGTGAATGGGCGCGACGAAGGCCCAGGTACCGACCTCACTCCGTGGCTTTTCCCAGAGTCAGATGAGTCCGACGAAGATCCGGCAATCTTTGTTGTCGGGTTCCAGGAGATTGTCTCCCTAAGCCCTCAACAAATTATGTCCACTGATCCCAGTACCCGCAAGGTTTGGGAAAGAGCCGTGTACGATTGTTTGAATGCCCATTCGAAGATGAAAGGGACTGGAAAATATGTGCACCTAAGAAGTGGCCAACTAGTCGGCGCTGCCGTCCTGCTTTATGCGAAAGAGGATTCACTCAAGTACATCAAAAATGTTGAAGGCAGCGTGAAGAAGGCAAGACATCCTGAACTCTCGAAGGGGCTCTTCCAACTGACTGGTATTTACAGACCGGCCTTTCCGGGATTGCTGGCAACAAAGGTGGCTGTGCTGTTCGCTTCGACTTCTCTAACACGAGCGTTTGCTTTGTTACGGCCCATCTTGCTGCTGGGTTCGCAAACTATGATGAAAGAAACAGGGATTATGAGATTATTGACCGAGGTCTGAGATTTCAAAAGAACCGGTCAATCGCTGATCATGACGCAGTGATCTGGCTGGGTGATTTCAACTATCGAATTGGATTGGGCAACCCAAGCGTAAGAGAGCTCATCTTACAGCAAAACTATCAAAGGCTATACGACAACGATCAGGTAAGTCAGATATATTCTGGGTACCGGTGTTGGTCTAACAACAACAGTTGAATTTGCAGATGGTAGCGGGGAGGGTGTTCCAATTCTATTCAGAAGGCCCAATTAAATTCCCGCCCACTTATAAGTACGACGTTGGAAGAGATAACTATGATACATCGTAAGTATCCTGTGAACCTAACCAAGAGGCAACTAACATATGGCAGTGAAAAAGCCCGGATCCCCGCATGGTGTGATCGAATATTATGGAGAGGAAGCAACCTGCGGCAAACAAACTACCAAGTTGCGGACTTGAAAGTGTCTGACCACCGTCCAGTCTGGGCAACCTTTGATTGTGTCATCGATATCGTCGATTATGCACTGAAAGAAAGTCTCAGGCGATCAATATACGAGGAAAAACAAGACCAAGGTCATATTTCTCTTGTAGACTCTATCTCTCTTTTGGACTTGGACGACGACGAAATCACACCACACGTTCCTATCGCACCGGGGCTGCCACCGGCAAGCTCTGATAGAGACCGATGGTGGCTGAACAATGGTAAGTATTTCGGTCTGTGGAGATAGTGAGTTTGCTAACATATGACAGGCGCATCAGTGAAAGCAACGGTACAACCACCGAAGCAAGGATATATTCCAAATCCCCAACGCAAATCCAATCCATTTTCTGCAGATGTCGATTGGGTACCAAGTCCAGACTCGATGGAGAACAACCCCACCGAGCCTGTTGAAGTTACGAGGAAGCCCATGCTACCCCCCCGGCGTGACACTTTCAACTCGTCCACGGGGTCTTTATCACCTCAAGCAGTTGAAACTGGAAAAATTCGACCGGCTGTTCCTCGCAAACCACTATCACTAAGTTCTCAGGGAAAAATCAGGACAGTATCACCTGGGGGTCAACACCCGTCACGACAGGACAGTCCAGAGAGTGGTGTGACCGCCAGTACTGGCTCTACAGATCTTCTCAGTGATTCTGGCAGTGAGCAGATCGAGTGGAAGCCGCTGTTTCAATGATAGTGGCCCATTTACAGACACAATCAATAGAGATATCCGATAGATTCTGGATATGGATCATAATCTAGCGATGTTATAATGGTGGATGTCCACATGAAGATCAGGCCTGCCACCTTTTGTGCCGTGCTTCCAATTCCTTGACCTCGATTCATGTCGTAGGGAGTGAGGGCTCGACATTGTGGAATGACCTAGGATGACTAATATGACTAAGTCAATTGATGTCATCTCTGACCGCCTTCTCTCTTCACGCCGCCGCCTTTGTGTTGATTTCCCCCAGAGTATAGGGAGTAAATGACACCTGAGATCTATTTGATACATGTATATCATATATTTGTCTATAGACAGCAGAATGATCAGATCTTTGATCTTAAGCAGGATAGAGTGATATGCAGCTTTGTTCAAAGGACCTCAACAGATCAAACCAAGCTCTTTCGCTATCTCCATCTCATGTCTATAGTTTCCTCTTTTTGGGGGTGAGCAAGGATATTAGGGATATGAGTAAAGTGTTGAATGTATCGCGTCGAACACTAAAGCGCCGATATTACGCTTATCTACAGCGTTAGTCTTCGAAACCACTTAATTTCAGGGGGTCCTTATAAGTATGTAGTAACGTGTCGACTCAAGAAACAACGTGGCCTTTTTTTTGCCGGCATATTGATATCGTGTATCCCTTCCCCCATCTCTCCCTCAGAACATATTTCCCCTAAACCCATCATGGTAGGTGTCACCGTAATATATATTCACGGATCATTAACATCTGTCAGGCCCAAACACCACAGCAACGTCGAGCAAACGAGCGCTTCGCGAAGACCGAGGCCGCAAAGAGAGGGAAAGGGCCAACCACGATCAAACCGAAGAAGAACACAAAGTCTCCCCTTTCAGCTAGCTGGGTCGGTATGTATGTCAACACAGTTGGATTGAACCATGCTAAAGAACGCCCAGTGTTACTCGCTTTCGTTGTTTGTGGCGGGATCCTCCTGGAGCTCCTACGAATTGTGCCTGACCTCTGGTCCACCGTGATCTCATGGTTCACCCGGCTCACAGGATAAAATGGACTTCAAGCGATGAGATTACCCCCTACTGCGCCAATACCCTTTAGCTTACAACCGATATGTTTCGAGTCAGCATGACCCGACCATCCCTCATACCCCTAGATCCCACTCACGAGTAGTCAACTGGACCAGGGGACGAGGGATGGATTCGGGGGACAAATGAATGTCAAAACCAAGATGTTTTGCATCTGTCACAGAGCTCTTTTCTTTTGAAATCTGTATTATTTAATTGTATCTCACTGTTGCTTGAGCCAGATACCACCCATGTTGCAAGATTTATTCCGGCCTAGAAGATAGTCATTTCTCTCCCGATAGCTTTTCTGGTTCCTGTATCTTCTTCTTTCTCTTCTTCTTTCCTACCACGGGCGCTGTAGGATCTTTCACCACCGGGTTGACATCTCGGTCTAACGCAACGTGCTTTTTTGTCTTCTTCTTTTTCTTGACCAGGGTTCCTTCTGCTGGAATGCCCTCTAGTTGGATTCGCTCAGATGCTCGCTGCATCCGCAACCGTACTTCCTCCACTTGTTGCATTGCTCGGGCCATTTCTGTGTCCCCTTCATCTGCGGGGACTTGAGGGGAAGAAGGCCCGTTTGCCAGGGACAAATTTCCTAGGCTGCTCGAGTCAACTTGGAGTAAAGAGCGCTTATATGTAGGGTGCTTATCACCGCCCTTGGGCCTGGATGCATCTGTCAAAGTGTTTTGGGTTTCAAAGGTCTCATCGCCAGCAACTACCAATTTGCTCACAGGGGGTCGGCGACTTCTTTGGCGATCGAAATCAACATGGCGGAGCTGTTCATCTCCCAGCTTCAAGTCAACTATGGGGATGGAATCAATGTCTAAGACTTCGCCGTTGGATGTGTTTAGGGCTTCGTGGAATGGCGTAGACGGGCCAGACGAATCTCCGGAAGGAGCAATATAAAAGGGGTCATCCTTAAAGCGTTCCCTACGCTCGAGCATTCTTCTTTGTACTGCATTAGATGATTCGACTGGCACACCGGCAAAGTTTTGATACGATGCATGGGGCTGCAAATCAACCGGCGCAAGATCACGAGTCTGCTTATTGGGATACGAAAGTTCAGGAAGATGATAGAAGTCCGATGCTTCCCAGGGTTTTGAGTCGTGTGGTGATGAGCTTTCCAGTTTGCGGCAGAGTCCTGACAGATCGTGGCTGAATGCCTCCTCTAGGCGAAGGCTATCCGGCAAGACGACCTTCCTCTGTGCACTTGTCGCAACAGGGTTGAGTTCGAGCCCTGTGAATAGGTTTGGTATGACAGAGGCGAGAAGAAATGGGACTTCTTGTGTATCGGAAGTCAATGCCTCAGCTGCTAGGCGGAGGACCTCTAGAAACTCGATGGCTCGCTCTTGGACATCCAAATCAGGATGGGCTGCCAAAGCCTCCAGGAACTCAACGACTCGAGCAAGTAGAAGCGACATCTCACTTTTCCAAAGATCTCCTGGTTGGCCGGTCTGGCTAACCTGAACAAACACTTTGGGGATGGCTTGCAAAAAGAGGGAAAGAGTTCGGGCGGGAAGCGATGAATTAGAGATGTCAATCAATGACAGCAGTGTCCGGTTAGGCGACAGCAGATATTCAGCGTACTCACCGACGACCCAGGCGACAGGCCCTAAGACACCATCGCCGATGTTTGAACCCGAAGGGAAAAAGGTTGATCTGTTGTCGACAAACATGAGAGACTCGGCTGCTCTTGTGGCCTCCATGCGCACACCTTTTACCCTTACAGCGACATTGCGAATCTCCGTCCCAATTCGGAAAGCAGTGTTCATCCTCGGATTGGGTATAGCCTCTTGCTCTTTCGGATGAGCCCAATCGTCTTCATTCTCCGACGGTGGGAGAAGTCCGACTAGCTGTACTAACACAGCGACATACCACTCAAAATCAACAATCTCGGAGTAGTTCTTTTGAGAGCAAAGATCCAGGATGCGGTGAACAACCTCGGTCTGGTAGTCGCCGGGCCATAAAGTTGGGTTTGGAGGGGTTTCGAAGGTTTCGGGCGCATCAACCAATTCAGCTGCAGGGGCAGACGCCTGTTGCAGCTGGTCTAGTAGACGGCTCACAACTGGCTGAAGGGAATCACTGCTGATCATTCCAACGGCAAGATCTAAAGCCTGCAATCGAATAGAAACATCCGCGTCATCCAGACAATCCATAATGACGTCCTGCTGCATGGAAACCAACGTTGGGTGCGTGGCAACAATGCGGTTCAACGCTAGAAGTGCAACATATTTGACTGCCTCGATGGTCAACGATTGAAGATTTGATCACAATGACGGGATACTCACGATTAGGGTCACTATCCATAACTATCATACCCCTTAATTTCCCCACACAAAGAGTGGCAACTTCATCTCTTTCCTGGAGATTCTCTTCTCCGTCTAAGATGCCCCCTTGAATGATGCCATTGATACATTCATAGAGCAAAGACATTGCAGAGGTCGTTTGAATAATATTCGTCAATGGACGAAGTAGTTTGCGGGTCAGCCTTGGCTCTAGCGGGGTTAACGTTGCAAACTAGAAAGGTCAGAGGGTGCTCAGAAGATAATCATTCCACAAAGGGGCATAAGGGACTAACAAGTTTGATGATCTTGATAGCCATCCAATTATTGCCGCTATCAACCAGAAGCTCAAATAATCGAGGCGCCAGAGGCAAGAAGTCATGAGGTCGTCGCCATCCAAGCTCACAGACCACGTTAATCGCCGCAGTAGTGACACTACCATCTTCTTGATCATCCATCAAATGGTCTTTTATTTTAGGCCATGCCAACTTCAGAGCTTCGGGATACACTAAAGCAAGCCTATAAAGACAGACAATCGTTTTCTTGCGCACCACGGGGCTTGAGTGTGAAAGTCGGGAGAGTAGTTCGGGAAGCAAGGACATTGCTAGAGAAGGTGTAATGATGTGCGGCAAAGTAATCAGAGGGAGTGACATGTTAGGAATACTGGAGGTGACAATATCCTGTGAAGAGTGTTAGCGGCTACAAGAAATTTGAAGCCATGCAAAGTACACACCTTCTTCAGCAAGTTGGTTGCCAGCATCAACACTTCAGTGTCTGGTCGAAAGCTCTGTACTGCTCCGAGATATCCGACTCTTTTCTGGAGGTATTTGGCGGATGACATGACTTCAAGGACGTGGAAAGATGCCCATGACATGTCATACCCAAACATCTCAAGGTAAATGAGCTTCAAGAGGGCTGTAGCCTTTTTGTCTATTTGGGGATCAGTATCATATCCATTATCAGGTGAACAGGTAGTTGGTACCCATGTCTTGTGTCTTAATCTCGGCCTTGCATTCACGCAGGGAACTCTGTATATATTCATTTTCACCTCCCTTATGACCCCGAAGACCTTTGATAAGGTCGTAAAGCGATTTCTCAAACCTAGAATACTGGAGATCAGTATTGATCAATCTGGGATGGAAACAGGATGCCCACATATTGTCAAAGCTATCGTCACAAGCTCGGGTCAGGAGAAGAAGAGTGCTGAAGCCTCCTAGTACGACTAGAGGTGTATCATAAATTGGATTGACAGATCAGGCATAATTCAGAATGAGAATCAAAGATGGTAGATGGATGCAACCCGAGCTCCGCGGGGTGGAGAGTTGGCGTTTGGGGATATCCCCGATAAGGGATCACGGGACTGGGCGCCAATGAAGCTCCGGTGCACTCTGTTCTCTTGCAACATTGAACCTTTAACAACCTAATTGGATCACCCCTGCTCTCGACTTGCAATTTTTTTCTCCCTATGATTTTTTGTTGAAAGAAAAGAGGAGAGAAAGAAAGGTCATTTGCTGCTGTCTATCATGGCTGGTCCTGTCGCTGATATCCGCGAGATCAACGGATCAGATCTGATATCTGCTCTTCATCTTGCCCAACAAGCACCAGCAATCCTTGGCCAAGAATCCGGGTCTGGAAGTATTTCCAATTCTTCAGATACTGCAGATTACTATGCACGATTAGAGCAGCTTATGTTAGCCTGTCTTCGAACAGGGGATGACCAGTCAGCACATACCTGCCTGAATCGCCTGAGCCTCCGATTTGGTCCGTCTAATGAAAGGATTATGGGGCTTCGGGGCCTGTACGAGGAGGCAACCGCCAAGGATCAGTCGACGCTAGAAAAATGCCTGCAGGAATACGACAACACCCTGTCGCAGAGTCCGGTGAATGTGGTCAGTATCGGCTGCAAGTATGGTTGTGGATTATAGACTAACCATACCCACAGCCCATCTTGAAGCGTCGTGTGGCGTTGTTACGCTCGCTCAAGCGTCCCTCTGACGCAATCTCCGGTCTTATTCAACTCCTGGATGCAATCCCTACCGATGCCGAAGCCTGGTGTGAACTAGCCGACTTGTATCAGTCAGAGGGGTTAGGTTCCCAGGCTATTTTTAGCCTTGAGGAGGCTTTACTTGTGGCTCCTAATTCTTGGAACGTATGATTCATCTTTATATATCTTTTATTGCAGTTACTAACATGAAATTTTTAAGATTCATGCCCGGCTCGGTGAATTGCTATACATATGCGCCTCCGATGGGGACACAGCCCGGCTCCTTAGGAGGTCGGTGCAGCACTTCAGTCGAAGCATTGAACTTTGTGACGACTATCTGCGAGGATTTTATGGGTTAACTTTGGTAAGTTAGCAATCATGGCGTTGACTCATTCCCATTCTAATTCCCCGTGTAGGCCTCGACACGGATGCTTGACAATGATTACGCAGGCGTATCAGGTCAACTTTCTAAAAAGACCCTGGAAAGACTGAAGGCCTTTGCGCTCCTAAAGTTGGGCGAGATTGTTGAGTCACGGTCAGTCGATGACCAACATTGGGCATCGAGTCGGAGTGAGCTGATTGCAGCCAAAGAACTGCTGAATCGCCAGTGAAGTAATATTTAGGCGGCTTAAAAACACCAGAATACCCTAATCAAAACATGTTCTAGAGTGTTCCATTGTATGGAGTATGTGGATGAGAGTGTATAGAGAGGGAGGGAGGGACGTATCTTGGGCATTTTGTTTGGGCAGCAGATGTGTCAAAAAGAAAAGAACACACAAAATGCCCAACGGGCCTAATAAACATTCTAAGAAATTCGGCTCTTTCTTTTCTTTCTGATTTTTTACCTTTGCTTTTCTGTATGATATATATATATGAATTGGTGTTCTATTCTATATGCTCCCATCTTTCTTTCCTATCCTATCCCAACCACCCTGTCAAGATACATTTTTTTTTTGGTCTAAGAGAAAGATTTTCTTCTTTTTATTCCACTGTATCTAAACAGGTCAAATCAAAAGAAAAGGAAGAAAAAAGATAGAAGAAGAAGAAGAAGAGAAAAAAAAAAGTCCATGCGCAACGAGTCTTCCCCCCGCGATCTTTTTTTTACATTTCTTTCTCCTACAAACACTTCTGGTCCCTACCTGGGTATTCCCTCACTTCGCTCATGCGAGAGAGTGAGAGGACTCTCATATATATATTCCCCGAGACTTCTTATTGTCTCTATGACGTATGTTTGGATTTTGTTTTGTTTTCCCCCCTTCTTTTTCTGGAAACTTTCTCACCCCCCTCTACAGGCTCAGTATCTCCATTGATCCAGACCCCCACGGTTCGGATCCCTATTACTCTGACGACGGTGGGTCGTCCGGTGTTCATGTTCCCACATCTTCCGAGTTAGGAAGTTATGACTACCAGGATTATGATGAAGACTGGGCGGATTTGTCTTTCCCGGATGAATTGAACTCATCTGATTCAGTCTCCCGACCAAGAACTTCGCACCGCAGTCGTCCGCCCCACGGTTCACGATCCGCTTCGGGCCGCCGCCCAACGTCGCGACGTATGGTTCCAGAACATCAGTCATTCGTCCCTCGAGGCCGAAGACAATCACCAGATTCTCCCGACAGTGATTCCGCCGACGACTTGCCACCCAATGCTGGTCGAAATGATCGGAGAGCGTGGCAGCAACCTATTCCGCCTGCTGCATACCCTCCTAGCCAGTCCCCCGGTCCACCTTATCCCTACCCCCTCCCCCAGGTCATGGACCGTATGCCCACCAAAATCCTCCCCCAATTACATCAGAGCTTATGAGAATTCCTCACCCGAGCCAACCCAATCTCTATGGTGCCCCGCCTTATGGATTCCCGCCTCAATTTCAACCTGGCCCTCATTTTCTTCCTGATCAACCCCAACTTCATCCACGACATGCGCCTCGCCAGCCGCCCCAGATGCACAATCCAATGCAGCCCCCAATGGCGCCAATGGCGCACGCGATGGGCCCACACGGTGCCCATCCCGCTTACCCAGGATATCCTCACGAGTTGATGGCCTACGGTCAGACTGGTTTCTATCGAGATCATCCCGGCTATTTCGGCGCACCGATCCCAGGCATGATGCCTCCTCATTATTGGCCACCGTATCCCCCAGTGCCTTCTCCTCCAGCACAGCCCGAACCTAAGAAATCTCCCCCCCAGCACCTGCTCCCGAACCTGCTCCGGCTCCGGCTCCGGCTCCGGCCCCAGCCCCTGAACCTGCTCCGCCACCACCCCCTCCACCGCCCCCTCCACCAGTAGACACCGCCAAGGATGAGCAAATCGCAAGGCTAGAGAAGTTGATCATGGACGACCGTAACGAGCGCGAAGCGAAGGAGCTTGCCAAAAAGCAGGCCATTGAACGCGCGGCGGCCGAGAAAGCAGCTCAGGATGCACAGACTGCGCATGATAGGAAGATCACCCTGGAAGCTGCGGCGCTTGCTCGAGCGGATGCAGAAAAGAAGGCAGCAGAGGATGCCGCAAAGGCCAAGGAGGAAGCGGAGAAGGCCACCGCGGCGGCCGCTAGTGAGGCGGCGGCAGCAGCAACCGCCGCCGCCAATGAAGCAGCTGCCAAAGCGGCCGCTGAGGCTGCTGAAGCGGCTGCTAAAGCTGCCGAACCGCCGCCACCGCCGCCACCCCCGGAGAAGAAGCAACCTATCAAATTTAAGGACGCTGTTGGAAGAAAATTCAGTTTCCCATTCGAATTATGTGCGACCTGGAAGGTAGGTCAACCCCCCGCTTGGTTCATTTACCCTTGTGTTCTAACCTTGGTTACAGGGAATGGAAGAGCTCATCCGGCAGGCTTTTCTCCATATTGAAGTCATCGGTCCTCATGTGGCTGAGGGGCATTATGATCTTGTTGGGCCAAACGGTGACATCATCCTCCCACAGGTGTGGGAAACTGTGGTCGAGCCTGACTGGGCTATCACTATGCACATGTGGCCAATTCCTGAAAAGCCTAAGGAAGATCCTCCTCCCCCCGCGCCAGAGCCTGCCCCGGAAAAACCTGCCGACCCACCTGCCGAGCCGAAGAAGAAAGCAGATGGTAAGAGTGACAATTTCAAGTACCCCCAGAGACATGCGCTTACCTTTTATCTAGGCCCTAAAAAAGGTAAGGGCAGAGGAGCAGATGTCCCCGGAAGTTTCGCGATGTGGATGTTAGGTGGTACCAATCGCCGGGGAGGCAAGGGGGGTCCTAAAGTGGAAAAGAAGTCTGATGCCCCAGCACCTGCACCTGCACCATGAGAAATTCGTTTCTGCCAATCACCCTGCTTGATCTGAGGTGATAACTGGTTTGGTTTCAGGTCGCTTTTGGCCACTATACCTATAGACCTTCTAGGCAAGAGAGAGGCATGAATGTTGCTTCTGCTAATACCGCTTGGAACATGATGATGAATATGATCAATGTCTGTAATATGTTATACGACATCAACTTTGGATTGCGCTTAAGACTGATATCAACTCAAATTTGTATGTTTTTCAGGATGTCATATTCGCTTAGGCGTTGATGTAATATTATGTAAGATAACGCATAGGAAATGTAACAACATAGAATTGCCTGTATGATAGGGGCAAACTACAATCGACCAATTGGGAAAGAGTAGATTAGAGAAATGCTATAGACACCCACCTTACTGTTACGCACTAGCTAACTAGTCACGGTCAGGTTAGACGGTTCAGGGTATAGTTACCTTAATACGCCTCGGGTTGTTCAAAGTCAACGATATATCCGTTGTCTCTATTGCCTGTCACTGGGCCTTACTATAGCCTAAGTCCTTTGAGGGAGCAATCGAAGAATCGATGCCAGGTAGAGCGCCGAGCAGATCTATACCAGGGTATTAGTCTAGCTCATAGTAGGTGTTAAGTTATAACTAAGTCTTAGTGTGTCTATAGTCCAAAGGTATTTATTGTTACCAGCCAGTTCTTTAAACAAAAGATTATATTTCAACAAGAGTACTAAGTATAGAAAGAGAAGGAAAAGTAAGAAAGAAAACTCTAGGATAGGATCCTTTATAGGGTCCTAACACCACTAAGTATATAAACAATATAAACTCTATTAAGGCGGAAATATCTAGTAGAATCCTTTTAGCGGAAATCTTCTTAGTAGAAAAGATCTACCTTCTAGATTATTATATAACCCCTAACTAAGAATATATTTAGTCCTTAAATACTAGCTTATTATTATTACTATAGTCTTTAAGGACTTAATCTTCTTTATTAGTATTAAGCTATTCCTATAGATATATAGGAGGACTAGGTTTTAAGGGGTACTATATATAGAATTCCTATACTTTCCTTAGTATATACTTTATATTATTAGTAGGATACTATTATAAATTAAGGTTATATCCTACCTATTATACTCTATATTATAGCTTCCGATAATATATCCTAGTATCTAGAACCTTCTTAACTTCCTATTTATCTATCTCCCTAACCTATATTAGTAGAGATAGGTCTATATATTATCCTTCTAAGGGCTCTATTATAGCTATCTTTTATAGCTTACTTAGGTAAAAGATAGGGCATACTTAGATTATCTCTAGTAGATCTATCTTATAGGAGTTACCTACTTTCTTAATTGCGGAGCGAAGCGAAGCAACCCATATCATAAGGGCTCGGTGTATGTCACGTGACCTTGCTCCTATATAAGGTCTAAATCCATAGGATTCTAATGCGGTGAAGAATGATCGCTGAGAAATGGCGGAATAATTCTACTGGGCCTCTGTACTAGAGGGCTAGGTACTGAAAGTTCTTATCACGTGATATAAACTGGCAAATCCGAGTCCAGCGATGATTACGTAATCAACACGCAGTCACTAACTAACTAACTAACTAACTCTTAATAAGTCACTTCGCTTCACAAGGTCTATCTAGTGGCTGAAGGCCACCAAGATCCCTTATAATCTTATATAGTCTACTAGTTAGGTATAAGAGCTTTCTACTTAGCTAATCCTAGAGCTAGTCCTTTATTATAATAAATACTAAGTCACTAACTCTAAAATCCTCTTCTTAGTAGTATTTATTTACTTAACAAATCTATAACTACTATAACTTTATAACTTACTCCTTAGTCTAAGTCTAGATATCCTATAGCTTAGAGAGTATTTATTGCGGAGCGAAGCGAAGCAACCCATATCATAAGGGCTCGGGTATACGTCACGTGACCTTGCTCCTATATGAGGTCCAAATCCATAGAGTTCTAATGCGGCGAAAATGTCATCGCTGAGAAATGGCAGAATAATTCTGCCGGCAGTAGATATATGTTGTACACCAAGCCCAGCAATTGAAATTATTTATCACATGATATAAACCGTCTGAATCTAAATACGATAGTGATTATATAAAAAAAAAACCAGTACCTAAGTAGGTAAAAACCTTGTCACTTCGCTCCACAAGGACTATCTGGTGGCCGAAGGCCACCAAGATCCCTTGTACTATACCTTACTTATTTAGTATTACTATCTCTTAGTCTTTCTAGTTAAATATTATTAAAGGTTTATATCCTCTTTCTATAAAGAAAGGTAACTTCTTTATTATATCCTAGGGGAGAATTAAAGCTATAAAATTAACTATTAGTAAGATCTCTAACTAGTTATCCTAGTTCTATTTAATATATAGTTATAATCTCTATACTATATACTAATTTATAATCTTACTCTATCTATCTATTTAAGGGTAATATATAGTTAATAGTTTTCTCTTAATCCTAAGGATCCTATAGAATTTAGTCTAGAATTTAGAGATAAGCTATTCCCTATAATTAGATATAATTATTTCTAGAATCCCTATAATTTAAATAATTGTAAGAGTATACAATTATCAGGTATAAGGCCTGTTAACTGGGTAGGATATAAGGCTTAATGATTGGGAGAGAGGATTAAATATATTTTTTAAGTTGTAAGACTAACTCTTGTAGGAGGGAATAGGATCCTAAGGATCTTAGGGTTCTTATACTTAGATATAGTACCCTATATTTACCCGAACTAAGTACTGAGCTGATTACGAATTAACCCTGCTTTGACCCTAGGATATGAATGATATACTTAGGTAGATAACTAAGTATTAGAATTAAAAGGACCTTTATCCTTTACAATTATCCTCCCTCTCCTATATAGATATCCCTATCTACGCCTAAAATAGACTATTAAAGTAGGATACTTTCTTTATCTAGTGGACCCTAATTCTAATAGGATTTTTAAGGCTAGCCCTTTTATAAATAAAGGCTCTCTATTTATCTTTATTAAGAATTTATACTTAAGGGGGTTTATAATTATAATTCTATACTATAACTATCTCCTTATTATATCTCTAATTTCTTATTCTAATCTAATTTAGTTAAAATATACTTAGTGTATAAAGTACTTATATACTAGTATTAATAGTTAGGATATAGTAGATACTAGTAAACCGATATCGATCTAGTGTTTCCTTAGGACTACTAATTCGAAGAAATACTAGTAATATATCGAACGATACGATATATATGTGTCCTACTAAGGGAATATAGGGGGATACTTACAATCTAGTATTAATTCTAGCCTAGGCTAAGTAGATATATTCCCCTAATAATAGGTATCTCTTATAAGATATTATTTCTTAGAGACTATAAATAAGGGGGTTCTCTAATTAGTTAAGGACTTTATAGTAGTATATTAAGCTTCTAGGTCTATATATAGTTTTAAGGGTAATACTAAAGTAGATAAGGGGGATATATATAATTACATACTATACTATTTTAGGTATATATCGCTAATATTTTAGTAGCTAATTGATGACAGAGAAGATGATGATATTCTCTATCTAGAAGCAAGACTGAGAGAGAGAGAGAAGGAAAAGAAAGCAAGTATGAATAGGATACTAAGATCCTATTTATACTGCCAAACATGACGGCATATCAAATATATTTGATTTATATGCTTGGATGCCTATGGCATCTGACATCCCCCTCATAGATCAAGCATAAAAATAAAGCAAAAACCCTCTTATTCTAAACCTAGCTACTATATAAAAATCCTAAATTAATCCTTCGCCAATACCTTAGTGAACCTATTAGCTATGTTATACTTGGATTCCACCCTACGTATGCTGATATGACCTTATGTAACAGTATCCTTAACGAAGAAATATCTCAATAAAAGCCAGCGATTAGCTGATCTACCCCCTTTCTTAGAGAGTAGGAGCTACGAATTAATACTATTAGTATAGATAACTGTAGTATTAGGCCTCGGTAATTAAAGCGAGTCGGCCACTTTATTTAGCTATATAGTATCTCTACTAGGCCAATTAAGGGTATACCACTCTACTATAGTGGTAGAATTAGCTATAATAGTCTATTTCTTCGTGAACTATATCACTAGAGAGCTAGCGAAAAACTAGATAATACCTTCTATTAACTTACTATCTTACTAATCGGTGTGTGATACATTAGAATATACTAAAAATTGTAGTTTATTAGACTTTATAAGTGTAAGCATAATAATAATTGTAAGATATATCTATATACTATGGTGTGTGAGCATAAGAGATATATTTTACCGGTAGTATCTAAGAGAACCTTAGATATATTATTTACGGTAAACTATATTATGACTCACAATATATCGCCATAAATCTAGGATATCATAATGAAGTCATTATATTATTAATGACTTTCTATGATATTCTATACTGCTAGAGCTTGCCTATATAAGGAATGAAGGATTCCTAGCTAGAAAATAATAATGAATACAACTTTTCTCACCTCTCACCTATTATTATCTACTTAAGCTAAGTATAAACCTCTTTATATCTTATATAATATTGTATTATATAAGATAAAGCTTACCTAATACACCTTCCCCTACAAAATATTATAACCTATTATTAGGCTATAATATTATTTCTGCTAAAGTGCTCACAATAAGGATAATTCCTAGATTAGGATATTAGCGAAGGTATTTAATAATGTGATAAAGTGCTTCTATATCGTATAACGTAGGTTTCGCTAATTAGTGCTATAGTCTTATCACTATAAAGTGAATATTAGGCCTAGTTTTAACTACTAGCTAATTAAGTATTCTAACCACCGATTAATAGTAGTCGAAGCTATTGTTATCGAGTAAGGCCTCTAAATCTTCTTTAATTACGGTTTCTCTCTATCCTATAGGTAAAGGAATATCCTTAATACCTATAGGATCTTTTATATATAGGCACTCTATAATAAAGAGATTATCCTCTTTTTGTAGTCTCTAACTAAGGTATAGTTTAAATACTATTTCGGTTTACTAAGGTCCTTTATATTATAGTATTTTTAAAGTATAGAAACCACTATTTAAATCTCTATATTTATTAGAGCGGCGATAATAAAATTATCTATATAGATTATTATAATTATTAGGCCTATCCCTTTTCCTTTAATATAGATATAAGGGTTATTACCTAGGGGTAAAAAGCCTATTTATCGAAGCTTAGAATCTATATCTTTATTCTAAAGGTAGGCGCTATCCTAGAGTCTAAATAGTGCCTAGTTTAATAAGTATACCTATTAGTAAGAGGTCCTATTAGAGTACTCAAATCTAGTTAGTTACCTTATATAGATAACCTTAGTATACTCTCTTAGAGTATTAATATACACCGCTATAAAATTAACTTATCTCTATCTAAGGTTATATATTGTAATAAGCGTTAATATAACCTTAATTATATATTTAGAAACCACTAGGGTATAAGATTCCGCTCTATCTTTATCCTAGAAGTTTCTATAGACTACCTAGTGGGCTTTAAACCTATATACTTAATCCTTTATATTTATTTTTAGTGTAAATCTCTATTGTCCTAGAAGGACTTTTAATTATAGAGGTTTTAGGATTAGGGTCTATATTCACTTAGTGGTAAGGTCCTTAAGCTATTTCTCTATAGCTTCTTTCTAATATATCTAGAAAGGTAACTTCTCTACCTACCTATATATTATAGGAATATTAATATCCTTTATATATAGCGGTTTATTATTAAATATAATAGGTATAGTAATATCTACTATAGTATTTATAGATCCTTTAGCTTCTAATAGATCCCTAGGTAATCTTAATCTCGATCTTTATATAGCTCTCTAACTATCTCTATCCTATTTCTTATATTTAATAGAGAGGTATTTTTAAGTAGGGTTATAATACCTCTCTAGTGGTATACTAATATTAGCACACCTTAAGCGATAAGGTATAGGTTTAGTGATTAGATTAGGGGTTAAAGAGATTAAGATAACTTCCTTATTTTACTCTTAAAGTATTAGAGATTATAGGGCTTCTTCTTCTTCTTAAGCCTTAATTATTAGTAAGGAGAAGGGATATTAATATCCCCTTCTTAGTACTTTAGGTAATAGAGTTAATTCTATAGATCTAGTTTCGCTAGATCTAATCTCCTATTTAATAGCTAACACTTGATTCTTTATTTTAGTTATCTCACTACCTATTCTTAAGACTTATAAGGTTAGTTCTAGAAGCCTTCTCCAGAGTTCTAACCTCCTAGTTTAGTCTTCTACTTCGCTAGGAGCTTAATACTTAACTATATTAGTGATATCTTCTACCCTTACGCTAGTTATAACTAGAAGTTATATCGTAGGAATTATACTCCTTAGAAAAATATTAGGCTTTATTACTAGTGGTATAGGTAATGATTTTTGTAATTATAGTATTATAGGTATAGTCTAAACTCTACCTTACGCTCTTAAGAGCTAGATTCTCGCTAAGGGTATAAGGAGAGTGTCCCTTAGGATTAACTTCTCCACTTACTATAAAGATCTAGGTATATTAAGGAAGCTAATATAGCCTCCACTATTACCTAGTGGTCCTTCTAGCTCTAGTGCCTTTCTATAAGAAGGTAGATCTCTATTAGAATTATTATCTCCTAGTTATAGAAAGCCTATATCCCTTAAAACTTTGATCTTCTTACTAATAGGGTCCTAGACTTTAAATATATAACTATTATCCCCCTTATATCTAACTAGTATTCCTTTCTATACCCTTAGGGATACCTTTTTTACCTAAGTGCGCTAAGCTCTTAGGATATATATATAAGTAGTGGATCCCTATAGTAGAAGGTACTTTAATATTAGCTCTAGATTTAGAATATTAAGGTCTCTTCTCTAATATATTAGTAGCGATATCTTAGTCTTAGGGTTAACTAATCTATTTATAATATAGATAGTAGTATCGACTATATAGGGCTATATATTTTTAGGTATATTAGTGTTAATAATTATTATCTACTAAATATTATTAATATAACCCCTAAATCTCTTAATAACACTATTTAGTTAGGCTATATAGGGGGTATAACTTTAAAAGTTATACCATATTTTACCTCCTAGTTAATAAAGTTTTTAAACTTAGTTCTACCATCTATTCGCTAGATTCCTAGGTATTAGCCTATAAGGAGCTTAATCTTCTTATAAAAAGAGGTTAATTTAATAAAAGCCTCTCCTTTATTAGTGAGTATAATTCCTTTAATATATTAAGTTATATTATCGACTATTAGTAACTAGTATCTCTCCCTATTTAGACCTATAGGCTTTATTAGTTAAGTGTTAATATAGAACTTCTATATAGTATCCTATACTTATTCCTAGATATCTTAGGAGATCTTTTACTTCAACTTACCTAGGAAATAGGCTTTATAGTTAAAATACTTATTTCTATATCTTTTATTATCGCTAAGTTCCTCTATATAGCTTAAAGTTAATAAGATTTTCGCCTTTCTAGTATGGCTAAGTTATCTATATATCTCTAGAGTAGTTACTTAGTTAACGATACTAAAATTATATAGTTAACCTTATTTACTTTCTTTACTATAATTAGTGGGTAAAACTAGATATAGAACTCTAGATATTATTTTAGTATAACTAATAGTATTTCTATTACTATTAGTAAGTAAATTCGATCTTATATTATAAGATATATCTTAATCTTAAAGAAGTTTCTATATCCTAAGAAGCTTCCTATAACCACTAGGGCTAAAATAACCCTAGGTTAAGAAGGAATAGATTATTCTATTCTATAGGACTATTTTAACTAGGATTTCTCTATATCCCTAAGTAATAACTCTCTTACTAGAGTAGTCCTTATATATATAGGTAGTAGTTAGATTATCTTAATAATAGGTATAGAAATTATTAAAATTATAGGTTAGGGTTTTATTAGATCCTATATCTAGAAGCTAATTATTAAGCCTAAAATTAGGGCTAGCTACTATAATAGCTATATTACTTCTACCTTCTGCCTTTATAGTAATACTATAGGTCTAAACCTACTTACTACCTATCTATAAAGCTAGCGGTGCCTCTAAGATATAGGTATATTATCTTATAGGATAAGGACTATACCTATAGTAGGAGTATATACTATTCTTATCTTTCTATATTCCCTCACATTTCTTATAAGCGTATTTATAAATATCCTTTCTAGCTAGAGGCTAATTATAAAGGCCTTTCTTCTTTTTGGAGTCTTTATTCTTATCTTTAGGTATAGAGGTATTATTATTATTATTTCCCCTATAGCCTCTATAGTTACCTCCTTAGCCACTATATTTTGATTTTGATCTATATCTAGCTTAGCGATTAGTATTAGATATACTATTAAGATTAGTAGCTACTTAGATTTCCTAAAGATATTAATTAAGTTTTATATTATTAATAGTACTAGGTTTAACCTTACTAATCTCTTTAAGAATAAAGCTAATCTTTAGGACTTTATTATATAACTATCTAAGTATATTAGATAGCGTTTAGAAAGGATAGGGACTAACTTTGAACCTTAAAATTATATAGTGTTAGTTTTATATTTAAAGGATAAATTTATAAGTAGTATTAAAGCTTAATCGCTTAATGTTAAAGTATTTCTACCACTTATTATATATATTGTCTACTTTATCTCTACCTTAAACTATACTTATTATCTAGTCGAATATAGTATTAGCTTCTTCTAGGATATAAGCGAGATTCTTAATCCGCCTTTATAGGTTCTAATTAACCTATAGGAATAGCTAAGTACTAATAATTAATGACTAGTAAACCTATCTTATATATAATAGATCTACTTAGTCTAGTCGAGGGATATCACTTTTAATTAAGTCACTAAATCCTATTAGTTTAAGTGTTATCCTAACTCTTAATTCCTAGCTCCTTAGACTTATTGTGTTATATTTAAGGGCGTTAATCTTATTAATATCGATTTTCGCTCTATCTAGGAGATTGGTTCCTTAATAGCGTAGAACCTCTGGTTCTACTAGTAGATCTACTAGTGTACCCGGAATACTAGGTACCTAGGTACTCTAGGAACTTTCTATAGTAATTAATTCGTATAAATTAGCGTGCTCTCTCTAATATTAAGAGATATATCTTGAATTGAGAGAATAATACCTCACTTTCGGCTTACTTTTACCTCTCAATAAGGTATAAACCGAGCGAGATATAGATCTCTTTTAATAAGAAATCCTAGTGAATCTCCTAGATAAGGAGATATGGTTCCTTAATAAGAAACCACTAGATAAACTAGTATAGAAGAGTGCTAGGAGTCTTTAAACTAGCATGAAAAGGCGCTTATAACCTGATGACAGAGAAGATGATGATATTCTCTATCTAGAAGCAAGACTGAGAGAGAGAGAAGGAAAAGAAAGCAAGTATGAATAGGATACTGAGATCCTATTTATACTGCCAAACATGACGGCATATCAAACATGTTTGATCTATATGCCTGGATGCCTATGGCATCCGACACTAATCTATATTTCTTATCGATAATTTTAAGAGATTTAATATATAATATACCTAAATCCTTATTATTAACCTTTATAAAGTATATTACTAAGGTAGTAGTACTAGTATTATATTAAGTCTAGATAATATTTATAGCTTAGGGATAAAGAATATATATTATAAACCTAGGTAAAGTATAATTTCCTAGATTTAGTCTAGGAAGCTAGTACTAGTATATATAATCCTATATTAGGTATCTCTCTAGTAGTATATATTAATAGTCTTAAGTAATCTTTTCTAATTCTATTATTTAAACTATAGGTAGTAGAGAGTGATTTTAGTAGTAGTCTATTCTTATTTTAATAGGGTAATATTTTTTAAGGGTTTTAATAGAAATAGTAGGTATAATATTTATTATATTATACCCCTTATTATAGCTTCCTTTTTTATAGATTTAGTTATATTATTATAGATAACCTAGGTTTATTTATCTTTTCTTCTTAGGTCTATATTTTTCTTATTTCTTTAATATCTTACTTTATTTTAATCTACTATTTTATTGTAGAATTACCTTCTTTTTAACCCCTTTTTATACTTATATTAGTATTAAATTAATATCTCTAATTATATCTCCTATCTATAACTCTCCTTATAAGCTAGTATAGCCTATCCTATAGTAGTTTACCTAGTATATAATATACTTATAGATATCTCTTTAGGAGTAGACTAACACTAATTTATAGTCTCTCTAGGTTTTTTTAGTCTATTACTTTACTAAGACCTATAATAGTAAGAATTACTAGTATTATAATTAGCTATATAAGCCTTATAAGTTAGTAAGTGACCTATTTTATTCTGGCCCTATTTTAGTACCTAGCTATACTAATTTCACTTAATTTTTATAGGTTCCTAAGGGTATTAAGGGAAACTATTTTAAGCTATTAGCCTACCTTTCTTAGGTAGAGTTATTTTAGTTAAATATAGCTAGTAGGTATAGCCCCTCTTTAGATATATTTATAGATAATAAGGCCACTAAATTACTCCTACCTTATAAGTTTATTATGGCTATTATAGAGGCTATATAATACCTTCTTACTAGCTTTAATAATTTTATTAAGCCCTATTACTAGGCTTATAGATTAACTAGGGTAAATATAACTTAGGTATATACCTTTCTTTTAAGTGCTTTTATTGCGGAGCGAAGCGAAGTAACCCATATCATAAGGGCTCGTGTATACGTCACGTGACCTTGATCCTATATGAGGTCCAAATCCATAGAGTTCTAATGCGGCGAAAATATCATCGCTGTGAAATGGCAGAATAATTCTGCCGGCAGTATAAAGTAGATATCCGCTAAGCCCAGCAATTACAATTCTTTATCATATGATATAAACCGCGCGAATCTAAATTCGATAGTGACTACGAAAACCCAGTACCTACTAGGTAAAAACCTTGTCACTTCGCTCCACAAGGACTATCTAGTGGCCGAAGGCCACTAAGATCCCTTGTAAAGAACTCTTAGCTATAGTATTAGTATTCTAAGTCTAGAGAGTATATCTAGAAGGAGCTAAATATATAGTAGTGGTTAAGTTAGATTATAAGAACCTTATATTCTTTACTACTATAAAAGTGCTTATATAATAGTAAGTATAATAGGCTAAAACCCTAGTATAATATAATTTTAAAATCGAATATTATAAGGGAATAGAAAATAGCTAAGTAGATATACCTAGTAGATAACTAGATTATAAATTAGGAACTAAAGTAGTAGAACCTACTATCCTAAAATAAAATTTAGATAGAATAATCTTATATAACCACTAGATACTAGCTACCACTATAGAGCTATAAGATAATAAATTAATTTTAAAGATTAAAACTAAAGTAGAAAAGGACTAGGTTTAAGAACTAGCTAGAAACGAAGGTAACCTTATTAGAAATTTAGAAGGAATTATCCTAATATATAGACTAGTCTATATACCCTTAACTATAAGGAAGGAAGTAATAAAGAAATATTATAATAACCCTATATATAGATATATAGGGGTAGGAAAGACTATTAAGTATATCTTATAAAACTATTATTTTCTAAATATATATCGAAAAGTTAGATTCTATATTAAGAACTATAATATATACTAAAGGAATAAACCTATATAATATATACTATATAGAGAAATATAGCTATTAGAACTACCTATAGAAGCCTAGGAGTAGATTATAATAGACTTTATTATAAAACTACTAATCTCTAGTAGATATAATATAATTATAGTTATAGTTAATAGGCTAATAAAATATACCTATATAATTCTAACTATAGAAACTATTACTACTAACTAGATAGCTAATATTATCCTATAATATATAATCACTAACTATAGATTACCTACTAAAATTATATCTAATAGAGATAAGCTATTTATATCGAATATATAGTAATTATTTATAGATTAACTAGATATTAAGCTAAGACTCTCTACTTATCTACCTACTATAACAAAATATTAAAACTAAGTAACTAAGCGATAAGCTAGATTATCTATAATTAGGACCTTTCGAAATCGATAAAAAAAATTAGATAAGTAAATTATCGATTAAAACTCCTATATAGTATATAAAGACTTTACCTAGTATTTTATATCTTAT